CCTCCGCGACCCGAAAGGAGAAGCGGCGATTGAAGAAGAAGATGATGATGATGATGGTTTGGGCATGTTTCCAAATGAAAAAAAAAAACTAAATTTGGCCAACCGAAGTGCTGAAAATAACCTAGGGTATATGTCTTGAAGGGCTTTGCTGTGCACTCGGGCTACTTTCGATCTGCCTTTAAACGCTGGCACAGAATTGGCAACGTTGGAGTCACTATCCCACGCACCTGCCTCTGTCAACCGACTGGATAATCGGGCATTGAAATCTAACTGACAAACTAACTGTCCAACTCTTGCATCACTAGGTAGCTGAATGTTGTCCACATGTTTATCTCCCCTTAAGAAAATCGACGGGCACCTTGAGTAGTTTCTCTGACTAGCTCTCATTTTCTTGTTATTTATCAGTACGATAGCTTACCACTCACTTACACATTATGTAGGAAATAATAACAAAAGAAGCAAAATTTTGCCTTTGGTGAACTATATAGGAGATATTAAATCAATCTAACAATGATTCTTTCATCCAAAAAAAACTCGTTTTTTCCATCGCACAAGCCTTTTACTATTCCTGAAACGTCATATATTATGACGTTTATGAAAAACGGTAGCGCAAGATAATCCCTTTGAATATGAAGATGTTATCCAGCATATCATTCTAAAAGTTCATCTTTTAATCAACATTTTACCATTCTAAATTTCGGTAGAAACAAATTTTTCATAAATATAAACAAGCAAGTCAGAAAGAGCATAACCACCTATTTGAAACTTCTCAGTAAATCATGGTGACAACAGTTGTGCCCCCATCCAGTGGGCTATCTTCGCTAAAACATCGACAAGGCGCAATAGAAACCATGCCCACTAGCACGTTGAAACCTACACCAACACGATCGAGCAATTATTTCGCGTTGCTGTTATTCCGTTAATATTTCATCTTTTTCATATTTTGTCATTACAACTGACAAACGAGATTCGTTGACGGTGTAGTTCAATCAGTTGTACTCTTGACTATAGTCACCGTCTAGGGCAGTTTTCGTAATCGTAACGATTGATCATGACGGCGGAGCTGTACTTGCAAATCAAATATTATATGAAGTCGTTCTTAATTTCAGTAGCTAGTTCCAATTTAGTGTGCGATCGGACACTGTGATTTAAGATAATCCTCCGTGAGATAACAGATGGCGAAAGACCTTTTGTTAGACGAATTGAAGCATACTGCTAGTATGGAAAAACTGTTGTTGTCAATGCATCGTTTCTGTACCCGCTTTCTGAACGAACTGAAAGTAGGTTTTTATTGCAGTTATAATATCCGTTGTACTTACAGCGGTGGTTTCCATTTGTTTAGCGTTGCATCTGCTTCTTCAAGCCATAAGGTTAACGTAGGAAACACGTCGAAGAGTAAAATGCGGCAGTGTACACTCACATCCACAAGATATTTGTGACGTTCCGCTACGGAGAGTGAAGTTATTTATCTAGTAGCAAAAATTTTCAGTTTTTGCGCCTTTCACAGAAGCTACTCTGGTTAAAATTTTTGGCAGAATGAGTTGCTACATTTAACATTTATTCCGACCATTTCATGTTAGGACATGCCTTGTTTGCCCCATGAACGGAGGTGATAGTAGAGTAGTCCGGTGAAGTAGGTTGCACTGCGGTCATCATGCTGATGAATTTCATTGCGTCCGTGCTTTCAGAGATTTTCCTGGCATCTTTTTCATTATTTATAACTTTCAGTGGCAGAAATTTGTTTTCGGTTCATGAATGTAAGACCTACCAAAGTCTCGTTGCTAAGCCTCTGTGGACACAGGTAGAAGCCTGTGTAGCTACTTTTCATATTCCAGTAGTTATAAATTTAGGACCTTTAAATTAAGTACGACTCCGCACCCAAAAGGGAAATGATCATGGAAGATAAAATTAAATGGGAAACGTGGAAGAATGTAAAAATTCAGCAATATTCAAGTTAAAAATCGGACATGCTATCTTTATGCTGGAGATGATATAATCCTTTTGTAAGTCACAAACGGGAAAAAGTCCACGCATAATTATGATAATCCAGTTAATGAACTGCCACTATCAGCATCGTCACTATGGAATCATATCTGACATCTCGTTATGGATTTATCCTTTCAGCGTCCTTCGTTCAGAACTTGTGATTACTCCGCTGCTGACCGGTATGTTGGTCATCTTCATGTGGAACTGCTACGCCCCCACCTACTGAACGGGATGAAGTAGGTTCTGATCGCTAACTTTTCGCAGTCTGCCTCAGTGCCCAACAGCGTGTGCAGCCCTTGTCAATCCGACCTACAACCGAGTTAGAATAACACACTGTGTCTT